CCCCCCCCCCCCCCCAACATCTACATCCCCGATACGAGCAGAATATATCCCCTGTTTTCTCACCCCCAAGAGCCACGGTTGGAAATTGGTAGAAGGCCATAGCAGTACTTGACCCCCATAAATAACCCCTGTGGAGCGCTGGAAGACCCACGTCTACTGCAGCATGTCCGGGCATTTGGCCACAGGCAGGTAATTATTGTAGCCTCTAAATTAGAAACCCGGCTGGGTGCTTGGCGAGCTCCAATTAGAGACTTTTAAGACCCAATGCTCTCTGACACAGACAAAGTGGATGCCACATTGCCCGTGCCTTCTAAGAGTGCAGAAATCTCTGAAATATTGCCATTAGCTCCTGTTTTTATGATTAACTATACACACACACACTCTCTCTCTTATAGGGAGGGGGAGAGAGAGAGATAGCTAGGGGGCTTATCTAATGCAGACCATCTTTCTCTGCCAGCTTCAGCTCGAAAAAGCCCCTACCTCCAATTCTTGGGTGGTTGCTATGGAAACTACCTCATCCCCACAGTGGCAAAAAAACAAGGACGGAGTGTAAGGGAATGTGAACCAATGGAAGCAAGTGAAGTGAAAAGCAGAGGGGGGGGGGGGAACAAAGAGATACAATGAAATACATTATAGAATTGACACTCATCCCTCCGATAATGAATTGTTTAATTCAGCCATCTCTATGTTGCACATAGAGGATTTTGTATTTGTGATGTGCATTTGCTGGTGCAGACCCGGCTCTGCATTTGTTGTTTGTGCAGGTTTCACAAACAGACGGACACATCAGCTAATTAGACCGTGCTCCACTCGTCCAAAATGTACACGGCAAGGGGAACATGTTGCGTTATCGGTCAAGGCGCTCTCTGTGACATGGAGGAAGTGTTTGTGCTTCCACGGGAACGAACACAGCCGTCATAACGGGTGTTTTAAAAAAGGGAAGCTAAAAAAAAAAAAAAAAGAGAACTTAAATCCTGTTTAAACTGTGAGGAAATCCTCCCCCCCTCCTCCTCCTCACATCCCGTACTGTATGCAGATGTGTGAAAGATCAGTCAAACAGCAGAAGAAGATGAAACATCTTCATCTTCCTGTGCAGGGGGACGACCATGTGGTGGAGGACTGATGAAAGTCAACTGATCTCTCCGTCTTTGGCAGTCCATCAAAAATTCCACAGACAAACAGCACAATGGGGGGGTGGGGGGGGGGAGTGAAATATTTGTCACTAAATACGCCTTGTCAAAGCTTTGCTGTCACTGTATAGGAAGTGCAGATTTAACAAGCGTAGCCAATTAGCAATGGCAATGTGGGAACCCTGAAACGTAAAACATAAACGCTGAAAACTGTTGACTTCACAGAGTTTGAAGGTGGAATAAAAGAAAACTGAAGAACGCTCTTGTCATTTAAATACACAGCAGTTAAATATTCCCTCAGCCCATCACTTTTGTAGATAAGTATAACTGCATTCCTGTATCTAATCATCTCCTAGAGAGGTTTGTGTGTGTTTTCGCTCACTCACCAATATCTTTGCCATGACACCATCTTCATTAGACTCCATGGTAACAACAGCCTTGTCGGTCTCAATCTCACAGAGGGCATCACCGGCTGCCACTGCCTCACCTGGAAAAGCAAAGAAAACACATCCAAGAACTCCGATATCAAACAAATAAAACATGTGTTTGGCATTTCAAGCACCTAACCAATCTCTTCGTTGTCAAAGCGTTTCTGACCTTAGTTAAAGTGCAAATGACTCATTTTAGTTATGATTGCAAATGCATGAATCATGATCAAAACAACTACTCTTTCACTGGGGCTTCTGCGCACATGGGGAACAAATGTGTTGCCCTAAATGTGAAAGAATTCCATTGACGGGACAAAGAGGTTATGCGAGAAAATATCTGCTCTGGCTTTGGCCTACATGTCTAATGAAGGGCCTGATCAATGTTTCATGGGAAAGAATATGAGATACGGAAACACAGCGTGTCTGAAAGAAGGCAAGATCTTTGCCTATCCTTAGAATTCCAGGAGATTCCCTCTGGTTCACCCCATGAGAGAGACGGAATATATTAGCATCTGCTTAACAATGAAAGAGGATGGCAATTAGGAGGCATTGGTTCAATCCTTCCAATGCTTATAGATCCATTTTGTCCAAACGCCTGTTTTGTGAAACAACTCAAATGGGGCTTCCGATGGAATAATACACAGACAAATGGACCTTATTGTCTCCTTGTACAAAAAGGAAGAGTAAAAGGGAAAAACTACTGTTGTCAGTTGTAACAGCGCAGTCGCACAGGAAAAGGCGGAGGAGAGGCGTGATTGAATCGTCTTTGTGACACATGTCCATGTGTTAAGAAGCGAGGATGAGGTGAAGTAGAGGAGAGGAAGGTCAGGCAGAAAAAGAAACAACTACAAGGAGGTTGACTTATGGGCATGTAGTAGAGGATAGAAAAATCAAGGACAGTACTATAAAAACTGATCTTGTAAAACCTTGAATTAACACCCAAATTTAAAAAAACGAGTGTCTGTTGGCTATGTTTAAGGCTTTAACACCGTATGACCTCAGGGGTTAGGTGTGATGTGCAACATTCAATATTAAACAGCCGACCTCAAGCCTGTTCACCTCTGCTCTTTATGAATACATTATTAAGAATACATAGCTACGCAGGCCAGGGCTTCATACATTACCTGCAAATATAAGATGCTGAAATTGTTTTGAAGAAAACTCACAATGGGCAACTTTGTGGGAAAACAGCTTTTCCCTTCCAGCGAGCTGTTATTATTATAAATGTTTGCATTTGTGGTATTTTTGAAATTGGTCCAGTATTGAGTGAGAAGCGGCTGCATTGTCGTTTTATTTGGCAGCTACGCACAGTCAATTGAAGTCCACTAAAATTGCTTTTTTTTGCCACCGCTCAGATTGTCATTATAAGTCGGACAACATTATCATTAGGACCCCACAGAGAAATAAAAGGTTTCTCTTTACCTTTCACTTGATCCGGTCGGTTTTTTATTACGTCATGTGACTTGTTGCCAGAATACAAGGGTGGACACGTGAGAGGGAGCTGGAGAGGAGATTGTGTGGTGTTGTCAGTTTGTTGTGTTGGAGTACAAAAAACATAGTGTAGTGTTTTCTAAAAGATTTTTAATGTCGTGGCTGAATAATTACATGATTTCGACAATGTTGTGAATGTGATGCAAGAGCTGCATAATGGGTTTTAAGGAGCAGGAAAGTAGCTTTCCGGGTGCGTTTTTTTTTGTTACTGAGAATATATCTGTCCCTTTGTCACTTACACACACATGTCTCACCCCAAGTCACAGAAGCACATGGCAACACAGCAGAGCAGCCAATCAGAATTCAGGATGCTGCCTCCTGATAAATGATAGTGTGGCTGAGTTGCTAAGCAGCGATGAATAGTGACTGCCGTGTTTCCTTGAGCCAATTCGCCACCAGAGGCCCTGAGGTGCTTCCGGTGCTCAGTCCTCTGCCTTACAGAGCAATGTGATGTCATTGAGTAAACTATTAGCGCTACAGTTGGTCTATCATCGTGGGGAAAAGACATACTGAGCTTTTTTTTTTTTAAATCTCATGAGCACAGATGCAGAGGGCGTTACTGTGCAAATTACAGAAATGTAAACTAACCTGCTAAATCTACAAACCTGCTAAACAGTGGATTTAGCAGGTTTTGTTTTGAGAGAAAGTCAAGCAGAAACATGTGGTGATGAGAGCTGGGAAATGACGTCTTTCATTTCTTTTACCTTCCTTCTTCAGCCATTTAACGATGCTTCCCTCCTCCATGGTGGGTGAAAGTGCAGGCATTTGCACTTTGACTGGGCTGACACCTACAGGATAGAAAGAGAATATTGCAATTTACACCAGACGGGGGTCATCAGGCAGCAAAACTACAGCAGAAATATTTCCATAAAAATCATATTCTGAGCTTTCCTTTCGCCACGCCTTCCAGCATAATCTATGTGAATGTCAAAATAAATCAAGCGACATATGGCTAGAAGTAGTTATGTTTGGTTGAGGCCTCAGTGTTTTCAATATGGGACAAACAGGAAGAGACGGTGCCACTGTGCCAGAAGAACGCTGGCGGGTCACTTATGGAATTGTGATCCTCGCTGACACTGCACCAGAGGCTGCAGAGGCACTCGTACTCTTGCAGGCCTTTGAGCGACCATGAAAGCCCCCCGTCACCAGCTGCAGTCACTCAGAAGCCAGGGTTCAAACTGGCGGCTCACAGCACTGTGGTGGACACCGGCTCTCCGGGATGCCTGAGGCATCACTGCTTTACTACAGCTAGTCCACGGCGGTATAAAAGAACAGTCAGGCCTATCGCTCAGACGCTGCTCAACTCAAAAGGAACATCCTCCAGTTGAGTGTACAAGTCTATGCTCAGCAAACTGCTCACATAACGCTGACATTCATGATGTATAGAGCGAGAATGTGGTGAAGAGACAATGAATAAGAGAAACAGAGGAGGCAGAGAAAAAAGGATCTTTGAAGTTCTTCAAATTGTACATCAATCCACTTTAATAGCCTACATGAAGACACAGAATCGCCTGAAACGTGGTCCTCTCAACCCAGCAGCCCCACGAGTATATGTATCTGACTATAACACATGTATTCAAGCAACTTAAAATCAAATAACGTAAATTCCACTAAAGAAATAAAAATATTTGTCTTCTTTCTCAAATTAGGCATTTTTGTGGCCATGTCGGATTTGCTGCCCTTCATGTTTCCATTCAATATAAAGTTGCGTGCTGGTGCCATCTGCTGGATATTTGACAATGTCACAAGATTTGCGTGTGAGTATAAGGAAGGCTAGTATTTTACAATAGTAATATGTTGTTAGCTTCAATATTTACATTCAGAATCTGAAATGTAAGAATACCAGTAACTTTAAAATATGTACCTGCCAGTTTATTTTATTTATGTGTGAATAAAGAACAAACTGCCTGACTCTTTTCTCATTGATATTAATATGAATTCATATGAAACAGCAGAAAAAATGTAAATTCACACGTGTTTCATACTTAGCATCAATCACTCCTATGTGCGTGTGTGAGATATATTGTCACAGAAGTGTACTGCTTTCACAAGTGACAGATCATTTTCCCAGCAGACATTTGACATTTAACAGCACAGGTGCACTTAATAATTCTAATGATGGCAGCATTCCATTCATGTTTGCCAGTTCAACAGCCCTGTGACTGTGCATGCTTGCTTACTGGCAGTTTGGAATGGAGCCATCATTAATGTAATTAGTTACACCAGCACTTTGCCTGCTGTCAAACTGTCTGCAGTAAAAAATCTACTGACATTATGGGCAGCATCTCATCTGTCCAAAAGTCATAAATAAACAACACATTCTAATATATATATATATATATATATATATATATTCACATAGTGCTTTGTTGTCAACACCTCCCTGACGTTATCCTCTAGTTTCTTCCAACAACCAATTATTTCTGACCTGAATTCTTTCCCTGTGCCCATTACTAGTGATGAGTACTGGCTACATGCCACGCAGTCAGTTGTTCCTCACTGGTCCTCTCCTAACAAGTCATAAACTGCTAAATGGTGTTACATACAACATTATTCATGGAGGTATGAACACTGATAATTAAGTGCTGAGCTGAAACGTTTACTCCCCAAACCTGATTGTGGACACTTACCTATTTAGGGCTGTCCTCACCAAAATAAAACTAACAGGGGGAGCCCTACCTACATCATGTACCACGTGTAAATAATACAAGTAATAAGGGCTGACGTTTATTTAGCTGATGTGGATTGATGGTGCTGGTCTTCTGGCTTACTGTTATTACTGGGACACTTGATCGTTAGTGTTGTTAGTAGCACCTGTGATTTCTTACTGAGACGACTCAAATTAAAAAAGGACCTTTGAGTTTATGTCAATGCTCTTATATTTACTAAATAAACTGTATTTAACTTTGCAACAAAGGAACTGAGCCCACACATGCATGAGAGGGTAACCGCCGGTGGGATGAAACCATTTTGGACCACCAGACTGACAGTTGACATAAATGGAGACCCTCCCGGCACATAACACTGTTATGCGCATTTACTTGACCAACATGAGTCCCTATGTATTCCCTGCAATGTACATTTCCCCATCATTAATGGACCCGTATATATTTCCCGTAATCTGAGGTCAAATAAAACCCTCATTACTCTGGCAGGAATGCGACATGCCAGTCTGCCCATTCAAAAACAATGTTATTAGTTATAGTGTGAGGAAAAACAACAACACAGTTACCAAAATGAACGTTAGTGTTAAACGACTGATTGAGGTAGAAAACGATGACAGCAAATGTCAGCGGCTGCCAGCAGAGAAGCTGACAACAGCACAATGACCACTCACCGAGGATCCACGGCGACCGAAAGAAGTGTCTGACATTCTCCTGACATGGGTGCGTGGCCAATAAACATCTGTCAAGGGTACTAGATAATCTAAGGCCAAATAAAATCCCCTGACGACCCAGACGCAAGGAGGCCGCCATGTTGTCGTCCTCAGTCGGTGGGAAGCGTCCACACAAATGCCTGACGGTAAATAAGAGGGGAGGTAAGCGATCGCATAATTTAAAAAATAGAATTCAATTGCGAGAATCATCAACTCCAGAAACCTTTTTTTTAAATATCCCATGATTTGAAACCTATTTACTTTGCATAGAAAATAGATTATTGATTCATTTACAGAAAAATGAGCAGGCTAAAAAATAGGAACTCTTATGGGTCCTCCGAGGTCCTTTACACTGTTCTGTTGTTCTGGTCGAAACCCCACACTGATCTACTGCCCTCTGCTGGGAAGAATATGAAGGGCTACTGTACAAAGAAGAAGTTAGAAACTCTTATACAGTCAATGTTTTTATACATGGTTAAAAACATGTAAATAAAAAATAATTTCAGAACATTTTATGTGGAAAAAGGTGCTAATGCCCGTAGTTAAAATCTAGATTAAAACACAATATACTATGAGCAATTCTATTGCATCTCAAGCACTCTGATCCTTTGCTTTCAACTTGTTGATAGCAATCCGGCAAACCATTGGGGCATGCTCACATGCACTAAAACCACGCACAGCCAGCCCTGCTATGTCAACAATGCAAGGAGAAAGCCGGATAACAATAGACACAGAGGAAGAGTGACTTCATTCTCTGCTCTGAGACATTACTCCACCAAATCTTTACATAGCAAATAGATGTTTGCTGCTACATTAATGTTCAGAATATTGAATACAGCTCCTTTAAACACTAGAGCCCCATTTATCACTGCTTGATGTTTTTTTTTTGTTTTTTTATTGAACTTATTTAGTGTGCACTATTGATATTGTTGAATATTGATATGGTGAAGGAGGGAGAGGGAGAGACCATTTAACTTAACCTAATATGTTGTTGTGTCTTCTTGAATGCAAACAAGGAAATTGTTGTGTGAGTTATTGGTCAAAAGTGAACGGGGAAACAAACATTAATAGAAAGTCCAACGTCACAGCAGGAAATTGGCTTCATAAGGACATATCTTTGCATTGTCATGAATACTTCCACATGTTTCTGTCACATCATCCCAACATACTGTAAATTACACTTCTTCACACAATTATCAATTGTTTATGTGAGCTCAGTGACTTCAGTGCTGTTTTTTGTTTCATATGAAGGTAAAATGAGTAGTTTGATTTGAACTTTCGATCATTTTACAAAGCAGTGTTTTATTTCTAAGTGGGCGGTGAACACAGTACCCCCCCCCCAAAAAAAAAAAAGTAAAGCTGCATCAGTGACTCAGTTCTAATCCGCCCAACTCACAGAATGGGCTGAATGCCTCACAGGTCCATTTGAGTGTGAAGAGAAAATGATAAGGGGGCCTGATAAGCTGGCGCTGTGTATCTGCTGAGAGAACACAATAGCCCAACTGAGAGGCATGAGACACTGGCACAAATTCCCAGCTGGCTGTCTTTATGCCCATGTTCAGCCTATCTTTCATCACTTTCCTGTTCTTCCTCCAGCATCTATCTGATTGAATTAATGCACTCCATTTAAATAATGAAAGAGCCCTTGTGTGGCTCATTCAAATCTGAAAATAATTTTCTGACAATACGAGATAAATGTACTTGTGGGCTGATATCGCATATTGTTTTTGGCCAAACAAAGGCAGCCATTATTCCGTCTGTGCAGCCTAGTGTGACACACAGAGCTGTAGGCAAATAGACTTTTACCTGTACATGCATTGTTTTTGTCATCTTTCTAGACTGTTGTCTGCACTATTCTTATCATAATAGTTAATGTGTAACAGAATCAGTCATCGCTAAAGTGAGTCACATGGATTAAATATCTCTTTACAGCTGCATGAGTGTGTTTTTGTTCCTCCCCAGATCTATTACAACCGGTTTGGTGGCATGTTTCCCTGAGTGCCATCAGTGTCTGCCACGAGTGCCCAACAACCAAAAGGGTTGTAAATACTTGTTACACTGGTTAAATAGTGCTTTCCCAAATCGTATCCTCTCCCACGTGCAGTTGATTCTCAAGAACTATTGGAGTCAGTGAATCACACACAAAAGCTGATGTGTCATTTGAGTCAGATGTCAGTTCAGTGGCCAGCATGGATCTTTACACTGAGGGTATGTAAAGCCTGGGTTTGCATTCACAGGGCAGCGGTCTGTTAGGAAAATCAAGCTTCTGTCTCTTTGGGCTGCAAGGGGTTAGATCAGTCCAGACAATTTGCCTCACTGTATACTTATACTTATACTTCACCCAGTCACATCAAACATGTTCCCATATCACAGCTCACGGCAAAATCCACATTATTCAAAAGTGAAACTGAGGCAACCTTTCAGACGTCTGTCTGTGCCGCTGATGATTGGATGCTCACCTCTTTGTGCCATGTACAATGGACTAAATCCTGGTTGTATGGTAGACAAATACAATGACGCATTTGAGGTAATGGGTAAATGATACTTGTTCGTACTGCTTTACCTCATCCATTTGTGGCTGCTTAACAGCTGCACTGTCAATCTCTTATTTCCTGTCATCATTTGAGGTTTTGAAACGAATGCAACTCATAACCATAACTTTTATTTTAGTGAATCACTGAAACACAGCTACTTTGAATTTTGTGTGCATTTCAAATTAAAAGTGTATAATATGGGTCATGATAAGTGCTACTCCAGAGGAACCACCAAGTGTGATTTTATGCAACAACACAGGATCTAAACAATGGAATATAATGAATATGCACTTCAGTTTAGATTGCATTGCTTGCATGCTTTCATGTACAGTTTTATAACAATATGGCAATCAATAGCTCTTATCTCAATCCAATCAGGAGCAGTCACTGATTGTATCATCCCCCCCCGTCCGCAATTTTCTTCATTTCATCCAGTCGTCAATGGAAAACAAAATGACAGCAAACTCCTCTAATCAGAGCTGGTTTCCTGATGTCAGTCATTCAGAAATTGAATCAGGCCTGACACTAGAAGATTACTTCTTAGTGACATATGGTTGAGTTTCTTCCAGATCGCATCATGACAGTGTCGGTTAGTGACACCGATGTGTGTGAGAGCAAAATGACAAAATGGAAAGGGGATGCGGCGATGGTGCAGTGGGCAAACTTTACTTTAGATAACAACTGAACATGGTATCAATCAGTGCAACGCTATGTAAAGAAGGGTTACAAAAGCCAGATAAATCAGAGTGAAGATTAGACCAAATTTGCTTGTGAACACAGACCAAAGAATGGAGTCTTATATTGCCACCGCTTTTATCTTGTTGGCCATCGAGGTCCAGTCATTTTATCTGTCTATCTGCAGGAAGCAGCGTGGAAGCTGTGGCACGGGCTAGCAGACCGATTAACAGTGTTTCATTTCACACTGTAACGATGAAACAGAACTGACCTGCACTATCTCTGAGTGCACGGCTTTTCACAGCAAGCTTGTAACAGATTCAGTGGGAACAAGGCTAACAGCTGTGGATCCAAGTCACACTATGTGGATACTCGACGATGTTGATCATAGTCACAGGCAAGAATAGCTGCAATTTGGGCGGTATGTTGAACTCAAACTGCTGATTGATATTTGGATCATAATATTTCTTTGACCCATAACAATTAAAAGTCACAGGAATGTTCCTGTTCTTGGCGTAAACAATGACACCCAAAATGTACACATGCAATCCTGAAAAATTACATTCATAGAATAAAAACAACGAGGAGCTTTATTTTTATCGATCATCAACAAATATTTACACGCTTTCTTTAAAGCTCAATAGATGCAAAATATAAAAGAAACCAAATGTGACCAACCATTCTGTTCTGTATATGTAAATATGTATCACTTGTTTATGCATTCTTGTACTTCTTTCCACTTATGGAATGCTGATTTTTTTATTGTTTAAGTTATTGTTTTTCAGCAGTGAAGCGTCCTTCTCAACGGACACTTCACTGTATCAGTCTCAAAACATACATCTGTTTGCCACATGTGTTTTGAATGCGTGCTGCTTTGGAACTTCGTAGTATCTGAAAATCAGACAAACAGGATTCTCACTGTTTTAAGTTATGTAAACACACGTGTGTCAGGTTTGACTGCTGTCATGCTGATACAATAAGTATTTTAAAAAAGGCACAGTAAAGAACATCTCAGTGCAGTGTCTCAAGAAAGGGATGAAAAAAAAAGTCAAGGCAAACATACAATTATCAACATAGTGTAAACAGTTGAATCAAACATAAATGAATGAAATTGTCACATGTCTGACTCCCTCCATCCTCTTGCATTGTTTCCAAACTTGTAAACCAGTCTGCGTCCGTCTACTCGCTCTAGGATTCCTCTCTTGTAGTAATATCTGTAACAGAGGACAGATGAACACTGTCAGACAAATTCAACATGAATTCATCACAGATCGTCTAAAATGTGTTCGTTACACACAAACGCAGTGTAATACTTTGTAATGTAATTAAGTATTAATTGAATAATTTGTGGATATTTTCACTTATAGAACTTTTACAACTATTCATAGTGTGATATGAACAGACATGTTTGTATCTTAACAAGGTACGTCTGGTGATATTCTGCAGCTTTTGATTGATAACAAACCTCATGAAAAAAACTGAAACCACCAATGAATGGATCCTGCTAACAAGTACTGTATGTATCTAAAGCCTGATGTTATTAACCTGTGCCATAGATCTCCATTGTTTTTTAATAAACAAAAACAAACATCAATGAGCCACACAATTGTGCTGGCTGACATTTTCCTGAAATACAACCAACAACCACTCAATTTTGAGTTGATCCCACATACATGAAGCATTGCTGGTTTCCTTCTTTTCATGGGATTTATGGACAATAACAAAACTATAGAGTTTTGCCAGCTTTATCGTTTCACTCTTGTCATCATATATAATGTAATGTCTTCCACAACAACAACTTACATCATTCGTTTTCTCCTCCATTCAGTTTGAGTAATCAGAATGAATTGACTATTTTCATATTCCTACGTTTTTTAAAGCAATCATATTGGATTAAAGTTGTGTTCCTCAGATTACTTTAACCATATCATGTCTACTCAATCAAATATGTAATGAAAGCATGAAGACAGAGCTATCACAAAGCGCTGGCTTATTCTTTTTTTCAGTCAATGTCGTCATGAAATGGATTATAGGTCATTTTGTCAGTATATTTTCTCTGTTGTATATAGAATATCTTTTTTGACAAAATATGTTCTACATTTCCTCTAAATGAAATCACATGAACTCAAATGAAAGGAAACGTGGTTGTTATTCCTTTGCGTTTGTTATCAAAGTGCACCAATCTGTTTGCTGATGCCATCAAGTTGCAAAATCTTCTGCACGACGATAAATAGAAAATCAGCTTTGTTGTCACAGTGACAATACCTGTGGGCACATTTTGAAGTTCCCAGTGGTTTGCACTACGATGAAATTAAGCTCATTAGATTAGCTCATTTAAATGTAAAGCTGTGACTGTTGCAGGAGCCTGTGAGATTTTCTGAGGAGAAGCTCATTTCAGTTCATTTGGGAGAAAAGTGAAAACTCAGCAATGGGAAATATGTGGTTTAAAGGGTTGAGTTCACTGGTTGTAGATTTGTAACTCTTAATGACGTCACCATGGGAAGTTGTTTCAAAGTAAATGTCTTAGTTATTACTGTTTAATTAGCGAGTGCATTATAAACTGCTTAAGTAAATTGGATTAGGAACAATGCAGTGTGACATTTCTTCCTCATCACAGATTTCTCAAGCTATTGGTATAAAGAAACCCCCTGTATGCATGTAGGATGTTGATTGTATTGAAAGTGTCGGAACTTTATTTCTGCAGACAAGTTTCACTCCCTCAGAGTGAAAAGTGGAGATTTAAAATCAGTTTCTGCAGCATTTCTTCCTCTAACAATTGATAATTTACCGTCTGGTTTTGTATTTGTATAATTACACGTGTAATAGCTGGAGGTGTACCTCATTGCCCGGCTTAGTTTCTCGTAGGTCATGCTGCTGTTATTCTTCTTCTTGCCCCATAAGTCTGCCACTGCATTTGACTTAAGGAAGCGGAAAACCCCCTCCGTCCGATCCTCCCACTTGATCAGCCCTGGGTTTCTCTCTGGGTTCAGCAGAATGTCCCTGATGAACTCCCACAAGTGGGTCCCCCTTTTGTCTGTGGGGAAAGCAAGCAGGTTGAATGGTAAAAAAAAAAAAATCATATCAAAAAGATAAAAGGTAAAGAACTGTTGATATGACTTACTGTGTTTTTTGACCTGACGACTGAAAGACCTTTTGATATCTGAGAAAAATTAATACAAATATTGTAAAATCCTTTTATCTATTTTTTTTCTTCATTTGTAAAACTTATTTTGTGGTTCCATTACAAACCATGTTGTGTTGTATGTTTAGTAGATTCCTCAACGGGGCTGGACGGGGTGGGGGATGCAACAGGGGCGACGTGGGGAATCAAAGTATCGTAGATATCTAAGTTAACAGAGAAAAATAGATTTGAATTATTCTGTTACATGATCCATTCCAAATGAAGCATGAGATGAAATAAGGCAGCTGACTGATATATTTACAGTACCTTCAGGTGGATAGCTGCCGTCTGAAAATGAACAGGAGAAGTCTACTATAAAGAGGAAAAGACGGTAAGAAGGCCATAATGATTAGATTAGATTAGATTTAGATAAACAGATAAACTGTCGACACGTCCATCTGTGTTGACATTTTTGTTTTTGTCTTCTGGACTAACAAGTTGTTTGAGCGACTCTTACATTCTGGTTTGATTTCCAGTTGCCCTAATTCCACATGGTACTGCCCTACAGGGATGAGAAGGAACAAGGAAGAGAATTATCAGCACAAATCAGGGAATTCAATTTGTCAGTGTTGTGTAATTACGTGAAGAATGATTATTTAACTCTACGTTCATAGTGAGCTATGAACCATATCTTCGTTTAAAGTATTGACCACCTCTTTAGGGCACTATAATGCAAGTTACACTGTGAGGTAGTCTGAAATATTCAGCAGATTTAGTAGAAAAACTATTGTGTTGCTTCATGTTAAATGCAGATACTTTCACTTTTAGAGCCCAAAACAGTATGGTTCTGTATTTTCACTGCAAACAGGGCCAAAACATGTATCGCTTTCTCAACAGCAGACGGTAAAACAAGCAAATTATTGGTGAAAAAAATGACCTGTTCTTCAGAATAAAAACAGGTGAGAGAGCAACAACTATGTTTCAACAAGAAGCTACATCAAATCTTAATATTCATTAGTTTCAAAATGATATTTGATGGACACAATTAAAGCACCTTTTCTCAAGAAACTGAGCCGGTTTCTCTCAGCTTGCAGCAACAATAGCAGCTTTGTGCTCTAGTTCAGTTCACCTTAAATGCCTCGGGAAACTGGAGGTTAAACCTGTTGTGCCTGGTCTTCTGCCACCATTGTTTTGAAATGCCATTGACTCAAGACATTAGGTTAACTATGATGTGTTGATGTCACTTACCACTTATTATTACACTTGAATCATTTTACTGCTTCAATTTCCTTTTAGCTTCATTTCACACATACTAGTTATAGTTAGAGCAAGCCTCAGGCCTATGAACTCCAGTTCCTTTACAATATGCCTCAAACTCTAATTAAAAACATTAAACAGTGGATGAGCCAGCTTGTGTCTCTGCTTCACACCCCCTCTGTGCTTTGTTAGGAGACCTACTCAAGCAAGAGCAAACAACAAATCCATCATCTCCCTCACTTTAATCAATCTTTCGCCCCCTCTACAGCACCACGCAGTGCAACCCTGACTGGATCTGTGATCCCTCCTCAGTAAGACTCAACTCGAATCACCCGGCTTCTCTTTTTTTTTGTGACTAATCATCTTCTTTCCCCCTCCCCTAAGTCCCCCTATCAGACTCTCAGACGCACCACTCCACTTTAGCTCTGTGATGCTGTGGAAGAGGATGGGTCCCACGCTGCCGGCAGCATGGATGAAGTCCTGGTAGTTCAGGCTGCAGAGCTGATGGCCGTCCATATCAAAGTTTTGAAAGGGAACACTGGAGGCATCGATCTGGTGCATGTCCATGACCTGCTGCAGCCACTCCCACACCTGGAACTTACTCCAGAACTGAGGCTGGGAGTCACGAAGCCACAGGCGATTCGTGTAACCAGACGTCACCATCGGAACTGGAGACAGACATCAACGGTTATGCATGAAAAGCATTTGTCTACATCGGTGAATTAACTTTGCTTGAATGTAAATATGCATCTGATGAGGGAAACATGAATTCCTCTAGTGGTATTTGTCTATAATTAATCTGCAGAGCAGTTTACTGAAAGAGCTGTTGAGCTACTTCTCGGTCTGGAATCTCTAAATCACGTCTTGTGTTTCAGAGCTCTGGGCTCACCAGGTGAGCAATACATCAGTTGTTAATTGTTGAATCATTTTTCATTTCATATATCAGTTTCATAACCAGTGAGAGAACTGGATTGTTGAACAGAGAGCAATCAGAATCCTTCAGCAGAACAAATAAGCATATTTTCTTGAGGCGTTTTAGGAATTTACTGAGACACTTTAATTAACTGATTTACGACAGTGAGGAGTGCATACATTATGCCGTTAAGGCATAGAGTAGGCTTCATGAAGAGTGTGTTAGTGGCGGTCACAAGCCTCACCATCAGGGTAGGAGTTCGTAGGGCTCCAGGTAGCAGTCAGCTGGCTGTCCAGGGTGGTGGATGGAGTTACGCTCATAGCTGATACACTCTGAAGTACCATGGCGCAGAGGCTGAGGCCGCAGAGGAGTAATTTACTCTATGGATCAATCGAAAATGAAACAATGAACTTACTGCTTTCTGGCGTCCAACGAAACCCAAAATAACATGCTTTAAATATTTTACATTTTGATTTCATTTCAAATTTAACAAAATATTCTGCACAGTTGTTTAATTTGACTGAATATGACTACATTAAAGTTATAATCCTTAAGATTTTCATGAAACCAAGTGGCGGAGTCCGACATTCCCACGCTGGATTTAGATTCCTTACATAAACAGGAAGACTTCACAGGAAACGAAGCATGCATGTGTACTCCAGTGTACTCCAGTAAAGCATATCTCATTGATATCTTCCTCATTGTTTACTCTACCCGCTGTATCAGAGTTGCATTAAGTTTCTGCTAATGCAAACAGAATCAGTTTGCATTCTTAAGGATTGCAACAAACTTATTTAATGTATTTATCTCACCATGCTTAATATAATATTCATGGTAACTAAACAATTGCAACACAAAGGAATTATATATGTCAGCACAGTGTATGGGTTGAGTAAGCTGCTCATAAAAAATACTCATATTTAAAACTCATATTTACGTTTATTGTTAGGCGGTGACTTCTAGTGGCTGTAGTAATTATGATGGGATCAAAGGAGGAGGTCAAGTAACGTAATATAAAAAAAAGGTCCATGGAGGATAATGGGGTTGATGAATGGGTTAAACAAACAAGGACTTTCACCCAGGAGACCACCGTTCATGTCCTGAAGTCACCCTTAACTTGTATATCATTTGAGTTCACATATTACAGCTGCTTATTTCATTGTCAGTTGGTTTAGTGTTTCGTATGGGCTTTACTCCCTTTCACTCGTCACATTTTCAGTTAATGCTGTATTCATTAGAAAAGGGATGTTTCAGTCTTAACCACAAAATTTGCATCTCAAAACTAAACTCAGAATTTCAACAGCTCCACTGTTTTGAACAGCGGGAGGAAGAGAAGTGTTGCACATGCACAATAGCTGAGTCATGACTGACACTTTAATAAGAAATTCGAGACTGTTACTTATTAGTTTAGTGTTCAATACTGCTGCTGCCAGGTGGTAACATTTGCCAACATCTGAACAAAGCTTTATGGCTTTGAGAAGTCAACTTTATGTGTTTTAAACTGGACGTGAATTCTCTGTCTAAGATGAGAAATGTGACATTTTTTTTGGTGTAAATGTTATGGAGCTATATATATTGTCATCGAGCTGTCAAAGGTCAACGCCCGTTTCAGATGGCTACACAACGGAACAACTTCTTTACACAGTGACCCACACCTTTTCCCTGGAATATGTTTGTCACCTATTTATGGCATGTGATAAACAGAATTACACCAAGCCCTGTCACACATTTTAACAGTAGATACTGTGCTGCCAGCCTAACAGAATTGTGACATACAGACAAGCTACTTAGAGATCTGGCAATCATTTTTATAACAATGTAATGTTAAGAACCCTGAAAAAGATTTCCCCAGGAGGTAGGTGACACATGCCAACATGCAAAAGGTAGATCAGCTCCTCAGTTGACAAGCTGCCAAGTCTGCTCAAACACCTAATGCTGTGTGTTAACCCTGTCTACACTGCCAAGCAGGTATCTTATGAACCAGACAGCAAGTATGTAATGAAGCAGCGCTATAGAAAAGAGGCAAAGACATGGACACAGTTATGGATCAATATCCCATTAGCTGAGCCATGGTAAACTAATTACTCCACTGCATGTGCCATGGGGTTAACATGAGGAGATAAGCAATGCTTATCACCATGTCAGACTGTTGGTTTCATTTCAGTGATTGTTGCCTTCCCATAGCATTGAACATAACTAGATAAGTCCATTTCTAGTTCACATTCTCTCCATTCTATGCTTTATTTTTATTTTACCTATGAACTGTAAATGTGCCTTTTGAAAGTAATCTTAAATTAATATTGAGGTTGATGTCATTGCATTACATATGCAATCTCATGTACAGGAGAATATATTAAAGTTAATGCATTATTTTGCATGGCATTACACCACACTTGTTTCAGTAATTGTTATTCGCTAAACAAATATTCAAGTAAGGGTAAATGGTTTCTTTGTACTATTTATGTTTCCATTTTCAAAAATTTGACATTATTTACCTTCTAATTTTAGAGATAATCAAACTGTTATCATCTTGCAACAACACAAGATAAATGTTGAAACATGTTAAATAATTACACAATTAAATGCTATTAATTAAAACACACTTAGCCTTTTAGACCAAAGTTCAATTTGATATACTGTGTTCAGTCATTATAAAAAGCACTGCTGGTCGCCCAGTGCCAGTAGAGCAACTTACCAGAGAAATAAAATGGGGACGGATCAGGCCTGACGTAGATCCACTCTCAATATGGCTGAGAGATATTGAGATCAATACTTATTTCTGGAGGTTCCAATAATCTAGAGGACTAGTGATTACAGTGAGACAAGGTGAGTCCTTTTGCTTCCCAAATCTTTGAATAAACAGATGAAAGCATGCAGACATACTAGGTGCTGCCCCACAATGTTTTTTTCATCCTCCTAACTTCCTTATCCCGCACCAATTGGCTACCTGTCCAGAGTCATACCAGGCATGTATTTGCATATTAGACACCTAAACACACCCACACACACCTCATATAACTTTTATATTTCCTACTGCCGCTGTTCCCTCTCACTTGCTCTCGCAAACTCACAAACACACGCTCACTCAAGCAGAAAAGCACACACTCGCGAGGATACAGCTACACTGGCATGGATCCAGACCCCCACTAGCCCATAGAGGGAACGTTTGATTCCTTAAAGTCATTGTTTATATACAGTAGTTGCTTAAAATCGTGTTTAACCTTCAGAGACAATTCCCCCTGTGTTGCTGTGTTGCACAACATTTGTTTTACTTATTTCATCATGATGAACAAGGTGCTGACAAATTAGGTAAGAGGCCCTGAGAGAATTTATTTTCTTTTCCTTTTTGAAAGTCGCTGCAACTGCATGTTGGAAAAATATTAGTGTGTGTGCTTGACAAGACTGCAGTGGATGAAAGCCTTCGTCAGGGTTACACATTTACTAATGTCTTGAATTAGTTTTCTACCACAGTGGCCTCTTTCTTGTTATCAGTTAGTAAGTGAACTTGATTATTAACGTCACACTTTGCATCTTTTTGAGGAATGCTCACTATTTGGGGCAAGTTTATTTTAGTTTCACTTTGAGGTATGGCTGACCTCACCTCATCACAATCACCCAGCCTTTGATTAACTCTTAAAATAGCTTCCACAAACATGCCGTGAGCCACAGGTGTCTGAGTGGAGAATGATAGATGAAAATTACCTTTGGTGTGCGTACACGAATCCCAGTGAGCATACCACAACAATGAAAGAAGTGGAGAATCAAAAGTGACACTTTCTTTGCCAGTGTTCATATAAGCTGAACTACATTTCCTGTCAGGTTTTGTGCATTTCCCTTGTGACATTGCCGTCTTTAAAGAGGACATGACATGGCACTGTGAAGGGAATGTTATATAAAGCTATGTCAATGCCAATACTGTTCAACTGTCCAAAAGATAAGATCGTGTTTCTATCCAAATCAGCCGTTGCACTCTGCACGGCTGGAACAACAAACAAAGAGAATGTGAATGTGAAGGTGATTATCCGTTTTTGCCTTCGAATTCCTCAAAACATGTTTGTCCTGTTTTTTTTTTACCAGTTTGCACCAGTCAAATGCAGAGCACGTCTTTCAAATCAAAACTGAATAGATTAAATAAACAGTATCCACGCAGCAGTAAATGTGTCAAAAAAAACATTTTTACTGAACTTTGTCACCCTTCATGGTTGCTGTTGCCCTACACTGACAATGATCAGAGAGAGTTCAAACTTTCTATTTTTGCTTGACGCCAATTAGGGTTTGGGCAAATTGTAACATCTTTGATCTTAGATCTAAATCTGATCTGTAACCTTGTACCACTACAATACCTCTTGGGACCAGAGGCACTAACAGTATCATGTTGATAATTGAAGTGACTTTGAGCAGGGTTGAACTGCATAATAGGCTGAAGCAGAGAGACGACTGTGAGAAAGTATGTCAGGTTTCTCTCAGAGCTGGAGTTGCATGTGGAGGGGAACAAGAGGTGACGCTGAACAAATAAACTCACTTAATTTGCTCTTATATAATATGGATCCATCGAGAGTAATGATATAAAATCACTTCCAAGTTCTAATATTTAATCACCTCTTGAGGCGGACATTGTTGGCCTTTCCTCATTTCATTGAAAAAAACGTATCGGCATATACAGTGCATACATGAAATTGAACCTCTTTATTTAACCCATTCTAAGTATTTAGGAGCAGTGAGCAGCCGAGAAGCACACAGGGAGCATCGTGGGTGTCAGAGTCTCGCTAAAGGACACTCTGACACACAGGCGTTAGAGAGGGATCGAACCGCAAGCCTTGTTGTTTAAGGACGCCACTCTACCCACTGAGCCACAGCTGGCCAAAGATCCCTGCGATCAACATTCTGGCTTAGTTCTGTGCTCTCTACAGTTCACACTGAGCTCACTTTGGAGGCTCTCACTCTCTCTCTCTGAGTGTGTGTGTGTGTGTGTGTGTGTGTGTGTGACTTGGACTCCTGCCCACAGCTCAGCCTCAGAGGTAATGAGGGAATTCAGTGTTAGCATGATTAGCTCCGAGAGTTCCCCTCCCCCCCCCCCCCCCCATGCACGCCAGATCGCTAGAGTCCAAACCCTACCACTCCTGATCTCCCTGCGACTCTATGACACCGTCCTAACTGCACCGGTTACGGATAAGTTGCCTCAAGCCCTCCCCGCAGCCCATCTGCTGCCTATTTGTAACACAGGTACTATTTTCTGGATTTTTTTTGCAGCAGTTTCCCCATCTTCTTTTTAAAGGGTAAATTGCCTCCAGGGTGTAATTTGAGACCTAAGCCGAGCTTGGTGCCTTCCCACTGTGAATGCCTGACCAGATTTCATTGCAGTAAGATTAATAAGCCCATCAGCAGTGGACTGAAGTCACACATTTCTCATTATAGCATTGGTTTGGCCTGCTTCTCAACTTCTCCTTTTTTTTTGTTCTTTCTCTATCACACTTTTTTTTTTGCCATGTCACAATCAGAGCCTAGTATTTGGCATCTCATTTCATGGATCTACGTTCTGCTTTTTCAGGGTGGATATGGGTCGACATATGCAGAAGTCCACTGGGGGAATAGCAAAAGGGAGAAAGAGAGTGGGAGAGATCAAAGTCTGTCATATCAACTGTGTGAGTCAGCCTACCAACATCGTGAGATGCAGTTAAGACATCCTCCCAGACACAAGAAACTGTCATCAAAATGTTGGCTTTGTAGACAGTGTCATCTATTTTTAAATAGAGGGTCAAGTAGAGGCTTATGTCACACGCCAATAATCGTACACTACTGATCCATTTATGAATAGTCTTATAACTTGCTTAGTGGTACTGTGAAATATAAATGCTTTATTTGAGGATGCAGTCAAAACTTCCCCTTTGACAGGAAAGGCTGTCAAAACTGTCAGTCAGAAGAAACAGACAAGACAGGAGGAGGGTACAGTGTGCATGCTCTAATGAACAGGAACTTATTAGAGGGAGTATGTATATTACTGTCCCACTTGCCTCCCCTCTTTCATTAGCTGCTTATCACGCCCGTTAGTGTCTTCTTTAATACTTCACATTTTGATTAGCATATATGATCCAAGGGGAAAGACGGAAAAATCATTTTATTCGTGTCAATTACTGCTACAAATGACAATTTCACTGCCTAAATTGTAATTTCACGTTCCTTCCCTGTCAAAGAACAATGTCTGTGTAATTACAGAAGTGCAACAGAAAAATTAATTATTCACAATCCTCTTCCTTTCTTGTTCTTTTGAACTCTGCCATGTCTATTTGCTTGTCATTTGACTGGCTGTATTAATGCCTGGAGAACAGAGGCTGTGCACGTCTCTCGAGTTATTTTGAGTTCTAGAACATGGCATGAATGATGTAAAAATACCTTTTCACCTGCACCTGTCCAGGAGCTTGACTGTGCTTGACGAGGTAGAGAGTGGGTCTCAACTCCGCCCATAGGTGACACTGTTGTCTCATGTACTGCTTTGGATCTCTGGATGCAAGGTTATATGATGAATGAACAACAAAGATGTGTATTGAAAATTTGCAGCCGATGAAACGTGCTTCCTGACAGCTACTGACTACGATGCCAATGGATGGCGCTACCTATATAGGTTACAATAACCTACATACGCTATATCTACCAACTCCTGAGGGAAAAGTCACAGAGGTGTAAGAAGGATACATGAGACAGGTAGAGAGACGAGAGAAGAGAAGTAGGGTTGTGCAAGAGTGGGTTGTTGTGACACAGGTATACTGTACTTTGGCTTTGCCACAGCGAGTGGCAGCAGCCCTTTGTGTTTCTCCCAGAGATGTACCACAAACACAGTCCAGTTCCTGGGCATCAATGACTGCTTGTCTCTCAGTGTCCCAACTACTGAAGGTACGATAGTAGAACTGTTCATAACTAAAATCATGTATTTGCTGTTATTGTTGTTTTAAGGGAATAACTGTGATGTAATCACTTTTACAATTAATAATATTTAAAGCTGCTATGAATACCATTTTATATTAACAACGGATCACAGTAATAGAAAGGGGTTATGCACATGACGAATCCACAGATAATTAACACTTGACTTTGCAGTTCCCATCAGCTCTATAGAGCGGAGCTATCAACAGTGACTGATTGTTTTGGTTTTATATTCCCCAACATTACTGTTTTGGTTCCCTCTCACCGCTCTCATCAGTCAAATATGCAGGAAGCTGTTTTCAGCAGAAAAAACAACTTTTAAACTCACTGTATGCAACTAAACAGCAGACAGACGACGTTTGCAGCTTGCCGGCGGACATCGTGGAGCATTTATCACTTAAAGAGCCAGATATTTCAACAAGGAGATGGTCAAGAGCAAAACAGAAGAGTGAATATTGGATTATTCGTCAAGTTGCCAGAAAGTTGACTCCAAGTGAATACTAATGTTGAACTTCTGGATGTGTGAGTCATAAACAAGATCATATTGACATTAAACGACAATGATAGGCCAATGTTGTCCTTGCAACTTCTGTTGTCTGTTGAATATGAAGATAGCAGGCTCAGTTTAGGTTAGCAGAAAAACTGGAGACGGGGAAACAGCCAGCCTGGTTCTGAACAGAGGTATCTAATCCACCTACTAGCAGCCTTAAAGCCTATACTATTTATATCTTTTGGTTTTTATATCAGTACAATAATCAAACAACAACACACTATGGGTGTTTGTGCCGGACTATTTATTTGTCGCGATCCAGCAGACAATCCAGGAAGTTACTGCACCTGGCCTAACATGAAAGAGGCATCAATCTTCATATCTACTATCCCAGTCAGCCCCAACCGGGATTTAAACTTTGATTTCTAGTTGAAAACTGGGTGATATTCAGTCTGAACGTCTAAGACCTACTTTCACCATCCTTACAACATC